AAAACGCGGTTTTTTTAAGTATACATGTATACGCAAGTCTCTATCTATTTTTAGTAATTTTTTAACAATTCATGTAATACATTTTAAAATATTAAGAGGTACCTTTGAAAAAAAATTAATTTGCCCTGTAGTATTTTCAACAATTTTGCGATGGATAATAGATAATTTTGAAAAAAAAACTTTGTTTAAACCTTTTAGAATAAATACTTTTGAAAAACGGTAGCCCATTTTGTTATTTTGATAAACTTGAAGTATTTGGAGATACATGTAACGAACAGTAGTCAAGTTCAAAAATCCATTAAACATTACAAAATAGGAGCTAAGCAAACACGAGCCTTTGATAAAAAATATAATACACTGTAATATTCTTTTATTGTAAAAAAAAACCAAACAAACAAACAACACAAAACAAAACAAAACAAAAAAAAAAACAATGTAGCTGTTTAAAAATTGACTTTTCCGCACTAAAACAAAAAGTAATAACAACTGGTGAACAAAAAATTCTAAATGAATCACCATGGATAAGAATAATGGATTTCTCTGTAATTCAAGGACTTTTCTCACTGAATTATTTTATTCTACATTATTTCACCAATTTAGTTTAACACCCGCCTCCACAGTTGTTAAATATTTAACAAAACTATTATATAATACACATTTGTGCAACTGCAAATCCCTACAGAATGAAGGAAAAAGACTTCATCGCCGCTAACTTCATATCAAACACCGTTGATGGTATGTTGAATAACATTTGTTTCTCCTTAAAATTTTGTTTATCCCCGCACAATCAAAACTTTATCGACATCTTTCTACGCATTTTCAGTTCATTAACAATTTCTTACACATATTTAACTACTGTTCTAGTCGATTAAAGTGTGTCAAATTGTTGAAAATTGCTCTGAAGCTACTATATTAGTAAGTACAAAACATTTTGGATTTATTGATAATCTATTGATTGAATGTTGTTTTAATTTTTTGGAGGTCCGTGTTGTTTCTGCTCCTATTTTGCATTATTTTTATGAACATTATTGCTTGAATGCTGTTCGTGATCCATATATTTCAATCGACTTAGGGTCGCCCGCGTTGCGCTGTGGTTAGAGCGTCTAGATTTGCGAAGTAAGGATTTGATCGAATCCCACTGTGGGACGTGGAGACCGTATAAACCGAGGTGCTGGCACAAAAAAGATTCCTCCCTGCTCTATGACCCTGAGTGCCGAGTATAGGACAAAATTTGCAGCTCTCCACGGACAAGTGGTGGCGTCTCCATATGCGTGAAAAATTCTCGAGAGGGACGTTAAACAATATACAATCAATCAATCGGCTCAGATCAGTTGGGGTCGAACTCCTGCATCTGAGTTGACCTTTTCATGAACCTTTTTATTTATGTAGTAAAATTATGCTATCACCTGCGTAGGGTGTTTCTGTATCCAAATTTATTCGATGAGTAATTAAATTTATAACCTAGAGGAGCTAATGATATATAAATTGATGTTACAAGGATTTCGAAGGCCGCGTTTAAAGTCGCGTTTCGTAATTTCCATACATGATCGTTGTTATGACCTAGTTAGCAAATATAACTATCATTGAGTAGTATTTTTGACTGACATATTTCATACCATATTAGGTCTTCCCCTTATTATTTTTTTTTCAATAAAAAGGGTTCAGAGTGTGAATGAGCAGTCGATGAGGATGCTTACTAGTCCTTGGCCCATAATCCCTTGACTTTCAACGGGTTTATGCTTTATGCCTTGGTCAAAGATATGTACTGTAAGTGTTTTGTTATTTATTTATGTTCGTCACCTTAAGCTTTTTTCATTTATCTAGGTAGATACGTCCCCTATATCTAAATAAAATCAATTAATATAATGTTAAAGTTCGAAGTGTTATCATTCCACAAAATTAAAATTTTTTCTAAATCTCCTAGTAGATAAAAAATGTTTTTCATACATTGCCAATACAATATGAGAACATTTACTTCTCCTAAGTAGATGGACATATCCCTTATGTTGTAAAAAATGGAATAAATTATGCAAAAGGATACTTTAGAAGTAGTGTTAATTCAAAACCACTTTAATTGAATTTCAACGCTATGACAAACTTCTGCTAAAAGTTTACACAGAAAACAGTGATATCACACAGGAAAAGTTCTTCTGCAGTAAGTACAAATCTTACCTCTAAATAGTTATGTACCTCCAATATTCCCTGGACATTTTTTTCACATTAGATTTATGCAAAAAGGTGTTGTTTTCTTTGTTATGCCCATCAAAAATAGGAGTTAATTAACAATGCCAATGTATCTATAATTATGAAATGGACATGTGGTCAATCAGGCCAAATCCAGAACATGCAAACTAAAGCCAATGCAGAATAAGTCCAATAATACTAATTAATTTGGTGTAAAATGAGCAATATTTACTTGTCCTTCTATATTGTAATTCATGTACAAAAATGGCAAAACAAAAGGTTATTTTGTGCACTCTTGGTATTTTTTTAAAGAAACATAAGGTTCATGTTTGCATTTGTGATTATTTCGATTAATTAACATTCTTAATAAAGCATAATATTTTTAGTTTTAATTCAAAAATATAATGCTGTTTAATAAGTAATCAAATCTCAATTACACATTATAAAATTATATCCTTGACAAAATTGAATGACAGAACGCCGTGGTGATAAAACATCACAATTTATATTTACTTCAAATATAGTTGGTTTTTGATTTTTGGCCAGACAAATAAGATAGTTCTATATACGAGATCCAAGAATCATAATTCTCATCTAACTCACTTTGCTTTTGTGGCCTACAAAAACGTTTTATAAAGATGCTTTTTTGTAAATTTCCAAGAAAAAAAGCCATTAACACCCTTTTTAGTCCTAAAACTTTATATTTTAACCTAACATGAATCCATACCATGGGGATTCTGAATATCAATATATCTGGAGAATGGTTTTGAAAGTGTTTTCCTTAAAGATGCATAAACACAGATTTGCAGTCGATACATTCTCAAGTTTTCTATATAATACCACGACTTATATATTGCAATAGCATTTCACACGAAAATATTTTTAAAAATCTTATTTCATCTAAAAGTAATTGAAACTTGATTCTAACCCGTCCAGAAATTAGAAGTTTCAATAACTTTTAGATGAAATTATATTTTAATATATTTTCGTTGAACATTTTGAAAAAAAACATTTTAAAGAAAAATTCTATTTGTAGACTTCCCTAAATCTGTAGGGAACAGATGGAATGCCGCTGTATGCTGCCAAAGGATGCTTTGGGAATAGTGTCAATTCAAAGTGTGCGTACATAAAAAAAAGAATTATACCAGTTTACGGATAATCTGACAAAAACAAGACCTTACTTGAACATTTGGCTCTGTTGATTCAACTACGCAAACCACGCAAAATCCGGCAAATCTCTTCGAAAAATTTAAAATGTGTTTGCATCTATATTTTACCGTTCATCAAATGAGATACATATATGGTATTATATAATATAATGTCTCCATTTTACTTTCTTATAATGATTGATGAACAATATGTTTCATTCAAGATAAAATTTGATTATAAATGTATGCGGCTTTAACAAGGTATGCATCATTTTGTTATTGGATTTCCCATCATTCATGGTTACTACATGACTACATGTCATTTGCTGTATCGTTATAACAGCTAGTTTTCATATTTTCGTGGATATAATTCTGTCATGTAAATCTGCATATGCTTACGTTGGCGGTATTTTTTCATTATAATGTAGAAACAAAAGAAAAGTATTCGGAATTTCATCATAAATGGATATTTTTTTCCATTGAGTTTTCTTTGACATTTTCATTAACCTCAGGTAGAGAATTTTTATCCTGAATTTTCATGTGTCGGATAGAACATATAAGATATTTTAAGAAGGAAAGAAATTAAATCAAATGAGATCTAGAAGTACCTCCATTTAATCCAGTTAGACATCAAGTTTCAGCTTCTTAATATTGCTTTAATAGACACATTGATTTTTTATTCCTAGCATATTTTTTCTTTTTTTTCCTCCTTCATTTTGACCCTGTTTCTTTGTCTTTTTGCAAATATTGATGTTTCTTTTGTAAATGTGTATTAAACACAAAATTAATTATGGAGGTAAGTATACAATATAATTCAAAAGCCAATCGTATTTTACAATATTTTACAATACTCGTCTTGTATGGACTTTAGAAGAAAAATTGAATGTCTGTATTAATTTCTACAATTTTTAATACATGAGTTACTTATTGATAAGTTCTTTTTTAAAATCACATTTTCAATTGTATTTGTTGATTTACATGGGATATTTTAATTGAAAGTATACTTTCAATAAAGTATGCAAAAAAAAAATCTTCGAGTTTCACAAGGTTCATAGGCCTTTTAGAAATTTTGTAGAGTCGCGAAGTAAGGAGTTGACCCTTACGTCGCGGATTCGAATCCCATTGTGGGACGTGGTGACCAGTCCTTCGGGTGAGACCGTATAAATCGAGGTCCCGTGTCGCAGTAGGTGCTGTCACGAAAAAGATCCTTCCCTGCTCGATGGCCCTGTGTGCCGAGTATAGGACAAAATTTTCAGCTCTCCACCAGCAAGTGGTGGCGTCTCCATTTAAGTGAAAAATTCTCGAGAGGGACATTAAACAATATACAATATCAATTAATCATTACAAAGTTTCATACGTTCTTGGGTTCACTTTACTTTCTTGCTGATTTATTCCACTGTTATATTTTCTTTCATGTTTCAAAGTTATGTGCAGAAAAAAAACAAAAAGTCAAAAGTGAAAAATATTTTATTAGCATTTGTGAACAACTATAAATACATTGGAGGTATGATGATTCATTAATATTGAATATTTGTGTATTTCAACCACAATTAATATAAGTGGTCCACTCTCTCATATCACATTTCTGCATAGAAAACATTACACTCCTTTATGAACAAGTAGACCGAGTTTATTTAGAAGTAGCAAACTTTTGCTACGGCGGTGAAGGTGAAAGCAAAAAAAAAAAAAGATATCTTTCTTATTGCTTCCTTTAAAAAAGACTTTTATATGATAAAACAAAACAGATCACATATGTTGTAAAATTCTATTTTTATACATGCATACATGATAATTAAGATATCATAGAAACCAAATCTTAATAATTTTCTTGCTATCTTAAATATCTCTTGAGGTTTCGTTTACACCAAACTGGTTTTCCTTACAATGCATTTACCATTCATTTCATCTTTCTTATGATCAAAATAAATACTGTGTTTTATAAGTTAAAAACTTTAATAAATTATGAAGAAGTTTGGCAACATATTACAATAAATAAGTTAGGGATGTATATGATAAAAAAAATGTATATTCCATTATTGCAGCGTCAATACTGAAATGTCAGACTCATACATGTGTACTCTGCAGTCTTGTACATGTTAAAAAAAAGGATACCAAAATGTTTGAATTCAGGTTTCAAAAGAAGAGATAAGCAAGTACTAAAAACTAATTAAAAAAACATATGGAGATAATGAACAGTATTCAAGATCAAAAGTCCATAAAACAATACAAAATAGGAGCAGAGCAAACACAGACTTCCAAAACATTGGATTAATTATGAATAAAAGTAAGCATCAACATAATATATTCTGTACATTCAACCAAAAAGCAAATCAAAACAGTTTTTACAAAGCAAGAAAAAAACTACTTCATTTTGCGTTTTAAAGAGGAGAATTTTCAATTGATTCCATAGAAAATGACGATGATCATTGTTATGTTTATGATAAGATAACACAGGAAGAACAAACGGTCTGTAACACAGCAAATAACCCTCCACTCTCTGACGTATTTTTCCTTTCTCTCTGATTTCTCTTTCTTATCCCTATGAAATTCCAGAATTTCACGAATTTTCCGAAGGTCCGATGCAAGGCTTGATTTGAGTATATTAAGCCTTTCGTTGTCGTTGCTATCGGGAGAAGTATGGCAATTGTTTTGTTCAAAGATGTGTTGAACACCCGAATTTTGCTGCTGCAATCCCGTGTTTTGCATAGATGGGGGCTTGGGCATTGTAAATGTTCGTTCCTCTTTTCCATCATTCAGCAGACGGACCTGGGAACACACTACTTTCTGAGAAGTGTCCGGCTGTTGTTCTTCGACAAGCTGATGCCGGATGAAAAATATTCGAGCAACAATGTCGATCATAAGCTGATATTAAAGAAATGAAACATATGGAGACAATGAACAGTATTCAAGATCAAAAGTCCATAAAACAATACAAAATGGGAGCAAAGCAAACAAGGACCTCCAAAACATCAGAGGTGGGATCAGGTGCCATTCAGAAGTGAAAACATATTCTAATTGTTACTTTTAAATGAGCAATTTGAAATTTAACTGTAATGCATTCTTTAATTTATCAGTGTTACAATCGAATTCAATGTGAAATCAAGCCTTTTTAATATTCATAGTTTCATAAATTATTACAGCTGTATATTCAGATGGCAAAAAAAAATTTAAAATATTATCTACTTAATCATAAACTTTAAAACAGATATGTTTCATAAGTATATATACATGTATGTGCCTGTATATAGCTGTTTACTAACCGTCCGTGTGTAATTATATGAAACTGTTATTGCATTCATAGTGGATGTTCGCAAGTATATGTATACATGCATTAAACATTCGGAAAATATATGTGCGTATATTTATCTGTGTAATCTTCAGTATATGTACTAAGCGTTTACATGTATATGTATTAATTTGAATGTATATTAACAATTCATATGTATACATAAGTAACAATAGTTGTTGGTTTACCATTACTTTATATACATGTATCTATATATATACTAACCGTTCGAAGCCATGCAGGTGCGCGATTTATTCGAACACCTCGGAAGAACATGTTTGTCACTATGACAGCCAGAATGGTGGACAGGGTGATCATTATCATACTCAAACAGAAGTAAGTTCCTGTAAGTATTTCATAATAAAACTGTAAACAGTTAATCAATTTCAAAATATATTGCTTTTAATAAAATTTTGCTAAAATGTTTTTTTGACATAAATGATTATTTCTTGCTCTTTTGAGTACGTCCTTCCACAAGTAGTGTTGAAGAACATGTCCTGTAATATATTCTTTTACTTACCAATCAGAGGAACACTATCTGCGGCTTTTGGCGTTGATTCTGCCAGTAATAGTAACAAGACGAAAAAGGCGACAAAAACGTTCATCCCTGTACAAAAAAAATTGAAATTGTCACACTTATTTTCTTAAATGAAATAATTTACTTGTATTATATTCTGTAATTTTTAGAGAGGATTTTCGAAAAGGACTTTTTTTAAATGAAGCATTGTAAGATTACATGTAACTGACTCAATCTGGAATAAGTGTAAAAAAGTTTCTATGTGCTAATTGATTTCAAACTAATTAGAAACGACGGTATCAATTTTTTTCTGAAATAATACTTTAAACCAAACTTTCATTTGCGACGACTTTATTTCGCGATTTACCTTGTAAACTAGTTCTAGAATTAGAACCTCGCGAAAACTTATAGCACGCGAAAAAAGTTGGTTTACAGTATGCGCAGCATTTCTTACCAAGAACTAATTTTGCAGGTGATTCAGGTGGAACCCAGAATATCACTAATGTCAGAAGAGACAGCAGAGCACATGGTAAAATTAAAATAAAGGTATAAAAAGCCACCTTTCTCTTGATCGTTATGTAAAAGGTAAGGTCTGGAAAGGGTTGATTTGGGCAACATTCATAGAAGAATTCTGTTTTGTTAGCATAATTTGCAATTATGTCCCATTCCGTGGCACTTAGATAATCTGCTACAGACATCTGATGAACATCTTGAAAAAAGTCGAGGTCCAGTTGAGTTCCATCGTATGTCCAAAAACCGAATTTCATTTTGCAGGTCTGAGTGTCAAAGGGAAAGTATGTAGTACTAAATGGACAGTTGCTGCGGAGTATGGCTTGTGGTATCCACAGGATAGAACCGTCATGTTCTACTACAACCAGAGCATCTCGCTTTTCTTTCAGTCTTGGGTCAGCGCTGCAAAAAATATATGTGTTGTAAATACAGTGAAAAATCAAGACCTGTGCAATCAGTCACACTGTGAATTTCGACGTTATACGAGGGGTGATCAAAAAGTTCGCAAACTAATTGAATAACTTCCATACAAGAAACAATATTTGGTTTTAATGTTGATTATATTTTAAATTAATCCTCCCCGATTTTAATGCACATCAACCACCGTTCTGCACATGCGCGAATCACGTGATATTGGCGGTCACGTGACCCCCTCCGTAGCGTTCTGTCACAAAAGTTAAAAGATTTTTCCGAGTTTTATATTTCTTTCCATGTGAGTTAATTTTTATGACAAGAACAGTTAATTTGTCAGAAATGGTCATATCTCGGCAACAGAATGGGTGGATAATAACATCCTTTCCAAAAATAAGCATGGCGACCATTAAAACACAAATCTTCTGTCTCAAGAGAGACCTTTATTCAAGGTGGATAGAGAATGGGTGCATCCTTTTTATCATATCTAATATGTTTAAAATCTAAAGTAAACGATATCTTAGGTATTTAATACTTATATCATTGTTCAAATATTCAACTATTTTTCAAAGTGCTAATTGGAGGTCTTTGATAGCAAATTGCTTAATTAAAAATACATATCTTTTCAAACTTGCCTTCACTGGGCAAGATGACAAGTATCATTTTTAACCATCAGCCTTCCTTCACTAAAACGATTAATCCAATCATTAATTGAATTTATAGGAACTCATTTATCTCAATAAACTGTGTACAAATTATTATATGATACTGTAGAGGGATTTCTAAGATATTACAATAAATTGTACAGTCGTTTGTTGAACGAGTTCGACTGAGACAACCATTTTTCATCACAAGTGACCTAAATTGTGACGTCATTTTCACATTGTGACGTCACAAACAAGGAGAGAAACTTTATGCAGCTTATGCTATTTATAGACCTTGTGTATTGCTATGTGTGTACCGAATTTCATTCAAATCTGAATTGTGGTTTTGTAGATATAGAGATAGATTACGAACTTTTTGATCATCCGTCGTATTTTGATCTTATTTTACTACCATGTTTTTTTACACTGTGCAATCTGACGCCCTGACTATTCCGAAACAAAATCCGTCTTTCAATGCATGTCGGATTAGATTGGTTTTAATGTATGTTTCAATTATGAGTGATTTTCCAGATGAAGATGAGTAGAGGAAAAAAAACTTACTCTTAAATATTCATTATGAAATTACATCATAATCACATCAAGTTTTCCGAAAAGAGATTTTATGGAAATTTTATTACTGAAATTTAGATATAAAATTGAGATTCTTCAAACTATGAAAGGGATAAACATTGATTTGTGCTTAATTTCCTCTTCTCTCCTCGTTTGAAAAATAAGCACTCGGGAAATTTAATGCGACAATGAATCCTCTTACGTTTTAGTAATAGAATATTACATTGAGTTTTCTTTAATGATAAAATTTCATTGCTTTCGAAGGAAAAAAGGTTATGTAACGTACAAATTGTAAAGTTTTAAATCCGGAATCCAGACTTGTTCAGAGGGCACGCGAATCTTTTTGATTCCCTCATGTTCATCAGGGTTCCATGTTAGCAATGCATCTTTCCAGGTCTGAAAGAAAGAAACGAAAAATTTGAAAAAGATCACTAGGCTTAAGAGTAAAATATTAAGTTTCAATTAAAAGTCAGAACAAAGTGCATTACAAAAAAGATCAAAGTGAATGATTTGTAATGTAGTCGAACATGCACAAGAATCATTTCTGAAGTTCTTTACTTTATGGACAAAACTATTTAGCAATGTTCTGTGCATAACTAGTCAAGTAAACAGCTCAATATAGTTGTTTTGCTGTACTTACGAACGTTTCCCAAACATTTGTCTCAAAAACTTGATTCTTTTCGTCCACTTTCAGAATTTGGATCAAAGAAAGACCAAATCTAATGGTAATGATCTCGGACGTGTTAACAACAGGTCTCCCATAGCGTCCATAGGTAGCGTAACGGTCTAGGAGAGACTTTATCAGTTGCTTCTCTTTGGATACTATGTTATATGAATCACCATCCGCTAGAGCTAAGGAGACTGGAACGAAAAAAAAACTTTTAAGTTTACTTAAAAATACAATTAAAATCATCAAATCAATTTTTTTTTCTACCAAATAAGGACATTTATTACGACATTACAAGAGAAGTCGACAGTAGCCTCTTCTATTCAGTTCTTTTTCATCCTCTCCCAGGATGAAATTGCCTTGAGTTCATATTTTTTATGTCTGGATATGAAAAAAATGGACTGAATAGGAAGAAGATATTTTCAAAAAGGGTTCTTGTTTTTAGACAATACTAAATGTGTAATTATTCTTTTCATACTTTTAATTTATTGAATTTCTCCCATACTAAGTCATAGACACAAATATAAAAGGGGACAAATATCATCGTTGATTTTTATTTTCATCGTGGTGACTTTTGAAGTGCTTTTTGTGTTAGCTTTCCACGATAATGGTTCCTCATGCGGCAGCCAATTAAAGGAAAGCAAACTAATTACCTTTGCTATATTGTAATTAAGAGAGTTAAAATAAACATGACAGTAAAATGAAATACTGTAATAAATTAGAACTATATTGGTAATTGAGACGGTAACAAATATGTCAAACGTTATTTAGAACTTTGATTTATTTCTTTCTGTATGACAGATTCTTGTTAAATATTTGCCCAACTATTGCAAAACAAACCACGTTGATTAAACATTAATTAATATCATTATGTAACGTATGACCTGTTCTCATAATTATTTCATATTTTATTACATTTTCAACGTTGTTTCATTATCTTGCACGCATGAAAGATTGTTCAAAGTCACGAGACTATATAATCAAAATTTAACAATGTAGTTATATTCTTTATTCCTTGATACTTTGTAAAAATATTACAAATTATGAATCAAGAACAGGTCATTGTATCCGTATCAACAGCCGCTTTAAAATCAATATTTCGCAAATTATTAGGTCAATATAATGACCCTGCTAGTAAATAAAATCTATTGTTAAAAGTTTTGTCAGATGATTTATTATCAGGCCTTTATTTTCACACTGAATTGTCGACAAAATTCCCAGTCGTTCGATCATAACAAGAAGCACACAGCGGTTGTGATAGTTCGACAGGGGATACTTGCTTCTTCATGGCATTTGATCACCCCTCTAATGGTTTTAAAGAGGTCCGTGATTTTGTAGAGTTCCAAGGCAGTTTAGATCTTAATTTCTGTCCGTTATCTAAATATTTCATGTAAAATTACAAAATAGTTCTCCCTCATACAATAATGTTTGCTAGGAAATTTTCTTAAATTGAGAAATGTCGCCAGCGTGGCGCAGTGGTTAGAGCTCTAGAGTCTCGAAGTAAGGAGTTGACTCTTACGTCGCGGGTTCGAATCCCATGTTGGGACGTGGAGACTGGTCCTTCGGATGAGACCATATAAACCGAGGTCCTGTGTCGCAGTAGGTGCTGGCACGAAAAAGATCCCTCCCTGCTCAATGGCCCTAAGTACCGAGCAAACGCCAAAATTTGCAGCTCTCCACCAGCAAGTGTTGGCATCTCCATATGAGTGAAAAATTTTCGAGATGGACGTTATTATATACAATGAATCAAATTGAGAAATTGAAAAAAAAAACGCCAGGAATTAGAATGTTCAATCTATAAAATTTGACTGCCACAAAGCTGTTATGTATATACATAACGACGAATACTCCCCCCAAATCGGATTTTTTTGTTTGGTTCTTTGAACTCTGCATTCAATGTACATTTTCTTTTTCTTTTTATCGAAACTTCATCGCTCAATATGAGAAAAATCTTCAAGATTGACTGTTTTAAAAGTTTTTATAATCACCCTAGCTTATTAAACGCGTCTTCGCCATCCCATTCAAACTTTCAAGCCTTCAAAATGATAAGTGTAATTTAGCAGTCATCTCACAACGTTACTACATCATCTCACAAGGATTGGTCAGAATTTCTATTTTTCATTAAACGGGTTATTTTAGCATATCTCTCAGCTTTCCTGTTTGAGAAATATGCTATGAAGTTTATCCTTAAGTAACCCTATCAAAATATCTAGGCCATTCTAGTGTTGGTCAGAAGGGGCACAAGGGATAGTGGGTCTTGAGTGGATATGACAGCAGAAGTGAAAAATCCAATTCATCATTTTCTCCGATACCAAGGTTTATACGAATGCTATTTGCTCCCTCAGGGATTTGCTAAAACTGTGTTTTCTTACCTTTTAATTTAAGAGGAAATGTTTTATCTAAAGCAATAGAAATTTGTTTGATACTGTACACCAAAAAAAAAAAAAAATTGATGACGTCTCCTTATTCGGCTTCATTAAACGTCTTTATTTCACCAAAAATAAACAGAAATTTTCCTTTTAATTATCATTAATTTAAAGTTAATAAGAACCTTGCTTAAAGTGACAAATTACTTATGTATTCAACATGACAAAATATTTTTTTCTAATTCCCCTTTTCCTTCCAAAAAAAGACAATTTCGACCAAAAGCAATTCTCATCAGACCAAGGGTACAATTATTTAACCATAAAATGTAAAAGAACATGAGAGTGGCCCATAAAATGTTCAAAACTAAAGAAGTCATTTTGTACGTAAAATATCGCACATCTGAATGTTGAGATAGTGATTCTTAGTCCATTAAACATTGCAGACCGAGATAATGATTCCGTGCCCATAAAATGTAACAGGTTAAGAAAATGATTCTTTTCCTGAAAATGTCACAGGTGAAAACAATGTCCCATCTTATAATTTCTAAATCACAAATCTGAAAGTTTAGATGTATATATTATATAATAGTTTCTTAGTCCATGAAATATCGCAGACGTTGAAAACAACTCCATGCCCATAAAAATGAAACAGTTCAAATTCGAAAACATGATTCTTTGACAAAAAAGTCATAGACAAACCCAAGTCTTTACTGAATATATGAATAAAATATATGGAGATAACGATAAGTATTCAAGCTCAAAAGTCCATTAAATAATATAAAATAGGAGCAGAACAAGCAAGAACCTCCAAAACATCGGGCGTGGTATCAGGTATTATAGAGGAGTGGTGAGCATCCCCTTACGACCAGTCTCATCCGCCGTGTGTTCCTTGTATGATTAGGAAATAAGGAAAAATCCATCGATAATTCAATGTGAAAATAATGGCCTAACAATAAGTATGAAAACTATTAGTCAGCATTTGACTTGATAAGGAATTGTATTTGCCGGCAATGTCATTGTATCGACCATAGAACTTACGAAATTATTACTTTAAACGAGACTGGTGATATTCTTGTTTCAGCAACTTTGTCAATAACGGACCTCGAATTAAAACTGTTCATACGTAGCACCTACTGTTGCGTATCAAATCAAAGATATAATCCCCGTATGCAGTTGATCATTGTATATTGCTGCATAACTAAGGGAAGTTGACAATTGAAAATTAATTAAAGTAATCTCGTTTGTCATAAAGTTGTTAGATTATTTTTAACATCTTTTTCAAGTAAAATATCTAAATATGAAAAAGATGTGTCCGACTCTGTGGTATCTTTTATTTCAAGTTCACCGGGATATATCGTACCGAAATAAAAATGGAAATAACCATTTTTATTGACAATACACGTCTCTATACTAGTATTCAAATGTCGAGTTGAAGGCCACAGGAAGTGTTTTCTTGCTTTCACGTATAAGATTTTGGACGAATTCTGCTCCATATGAATACAAAAAAAGGTCTGCTAATAAAAGGACGCAATTCGTACCCATGGAAATTTCAATAGATTGTAGGAAGACTCTCTAAAAACCACATAGATCTTTTTAGTATCAACTTCAGAGTGCTTGTGTGTACAATCAAAATGTTTTGCAAAATAATTTTGCAACTGACCAATGAGAATGTGAGTAAATTTACGAGTTCCATTTTTATTGAAAGACAGCTGTCATTTATAAAGCTTGTATTTTAACTAAAACTAGGGAATGGTTTGTAGTCTCAAGTATTAATGCTGTTAATTTTGTAATTTCAAAATTTCCTAAAGTTCCTTCCAATTTGTATGCATTCACAATTGATTTACAACCCCTCTCAAATAAATTGTTTTACAATACACCTGATTTTTCTCCTTCATTACTGTTAATATCTTAGTGAGGAGTAAAGAAAGAGGCTCGGTAGAACATTTACTGAATGACTTATGAATCTTTGTAAGGACTTTTATGAAGCTTCGGAATCCAATACCAAATATGGTAATTCAAATTCACTTTTGTTGTTTGGAATATTAAAAATATTCAAAACTGACATATAATTCTGAAAAATTACTTCCTTTGAAAGGAAACTATAAGTATCACTAGGATTTCCATTCGTAGAATGAAATAAATGACTTGAAACAAAACCTTGGCATTTTGAACTGTGAGTCATTCATTCTGAAACAAACCATAATAATACAGATAATTATCTTACTGTTGTTTTTTCGACCATCATATTATTTTCGACCCGCGATGGCTGGTTCCATGTTGATATAATTCATTAAGTTTAATGAACCCTAAACAGGAATGCGATTGCTGCGCTTCAGTGCGACAATTTACCGTATTGGATTCTGACGATACCGAACCATGAAGGCAAATATAAATAAAACATTGTGTGACAAAATAACGATACTCAAATGAGATGGAATTCTGCAGTTCTGTAATTTCCAGGTTCAGGTTTCATTTCAATTAACCCCTAATGTAAGTCTGATCATTATAAATAATCATCTACAACCGTTATATCATATTGTATGTACGATTTATTACAGAATTTCAATAAAAAATATTCGTTTCGGCACATTTATTCTGCAAATTGATAACAACATCCGATTTATAGTTAAGAGTTATTTCCTTTTCCTGATCAAATCATGTATTGTGTTGAGGACCAGAAAGATCCAGGCAATCAGACAGAATGGAAAAACTTACCTCAGCATACAAAGGTAATTGAGTGAAACCATCTGATGGATAAAAACAAATAAAAACCATTTTCCCAAATTATATTCAACCAAATGCACTGTAACCTGGGATACATTAAAGAG